CCATAACAGTGGGCTTGACATCCGAGAGATAGCACTCTCGGGCCATCCTCTGATCTCCCCTTAGGGACCCGACTGTTCCATTATCCCTCTCAAACTTGAGCAACATAAGAGATGGGATTATAACAGCCTTGGAATTATTCAGGGTTGGTCGTCCCAGAATCATGTTGTAGGTCGAGAGTTCTTCTACTACCAGGAACCGGACTACCATGTGTCGTTCTTCCCCTTTTTCGCTCAGGCGGATGGGTAAATCCACTCGTCCCACTGGGTGGACGACTCCTCCTCCAAACCCTACTAAAGGGTGGGATGCTGGATGTATGCAATCAGTATGATATTTTAGTTTCGACAGACATTTGCTACTGATGAAATCTGAGGAGCTTCCGGTATCTATGAGGATTCGGCCAACTCTCTGGTTGGCCACTTTACATTCAATAACGATAGGGTCGTCATGCGGCCCTCTTACCCCTCCTAGATCTTCTTCAGTGATGACAATCTCAGGAAATGAATATTTGGAGGGCCGTTCTTGGTGAACGGAATTTACATCTAACCGTCTGATGTTGTCTTTGTTGCCCCTAATAGTGGGGCCGCCTCCTGAGAAGCCGCCTGCAATGGTGTAGACGACTGCATCATCTGTATCGGAGCTGTCGGCCTGTTTGGTACCGCCTGCTGAATTGTTCCTAAATCAAGGGTCGTCTTCTTCGCAGGGATGTTCATGGCGAAGTTGGAGGTGAATAAGTAAGCAAGCGTCCTGAAGTTATTTACACAACCAGACGGCAGGTTGCCGAACCATTGTTGTGCGATTCCTTTGAGAGTCGCTGGGAAACACTTGCACCAAGTGGGATCATCCAACCCTTGAAGGTACATCAGGTTGCTGAATGCCATCAGATGGTCTTCTGGGTTAGTAGTGCCGTCATAGGCGCCTACTAATACATTTTTCACTTTGGCCGGCTGAGCGGCTTCAGTAATTTCCTTGGAGAAGGCCGACGGCTGTTCACCAAGTCTAAGCAACCGTAGCTGCCAGTCCATAGGTTGGACATTTTTTGCTGCATGTCCACCAAACGGAGGTGGCTGTAAAAAATACTGTTGTTGCGGTACAAACGGTAAGTTTGGTACCGCCTGGTCGCTATGAAAGCCGGACTGACGGGAGGTGCCGCCTGACTGACTCTCATGATACGACTGAGTATGCCTCATCGAGGTATTTCGCAGACTGTCTTGGAAGTTTGAAGTAGAGGCCGACTTTGACAATCGGTCACTCTTCTTCTGCTCTAGCAGTAGCCGAGCGTCTGTGTATGTTTTCCTCGACCCGTCCGCCTGAACATGACGAACAGGTTTCCTATTTCCTGGAGTAGGAAAACGGTATTTTGTGAGATCAAGGGCAGTCGGCTCCCGCTTCCTAGATTTAGGATGAGGAGTCGCCTATCGCCCTTGAACTGGCTTCCTCTTCAGTGAAGTGGAGGGTTTCTTAGCCGACTGCTCCTTGTCCAGAGCAGGCGGCTTCTTGTTGATCAACTCTTGAATTTCTCCCTTGAAGTTCCTCATGAAGGTCATGAGTTCGTTCCTTGTGATGGGAGCAGACCCATCAGTCGGCTGTTGCCGAACAGGCGGTGCGCCTGCTGGCTCGCTTCCAGTTTGAAGATGTTCCCGTTCCCTCCTTTCGGTATGACGGGTACGTCGGGCCCTTAGGGTCCCGTCTGAAGCTGTGTGAGCTTCAACTTCAAATTCATTCTCAGTATCGTGGTCCGACTGAACTTGAGGGTCGTCTTGGGGATGCCTCTCTTCAGGAGTCGGTACAGACTTGGATGCCATCTCAGAAGTACTCTCCCCACAGACGGCGCCAAATGTTTCGGGGTTTTCTGATGTCCTGCGGGAGAGTTACAATTCCGAGACTGGAACCGGACGCCTGTACCTGCAAAACAACGGAGACTCCTGGTGGTGGGAGCTCCGCCTCCGACGGTCAAGTTAGTACTTGATTAAGGAGTAATTAATGCGGAAATTAAAGTGATTGGGTCTCTCTAGGTGAGAGTGTTTAATGTGTGTAATCTGCGTTTTTAGCATGTCCTCCTCTCTTAATGAGGATTAAGGGAGGTATTTATAACCTTGGGAAACGTGCCAATCCTAGGTTTAGGTTAACCTAGGGCTGATTGGGCTTCCCTCAGAAGTTGGGCCTGGGTGGCCGGTTTCTCCATTAGGCATGGAGTATGCCACGTGTCATGACATAATAGGTCCAAGGTGGACGAATAAGCGTGTGCCACGTGGCAAGCCCTGACAGTTCCAACTGGGGGACACTTGGCAGGACCTGATTGGCCCACGTGGCGCATTCCGATTGGTGGGAGCAAAATCCCCTAATCAGTACGTATCGCTCAAAAATAGAACGGGGTCAAACAAAAGTCAGCTCACCCAACCCACGTGAAATTATGCCTCTGCCCTCCAATTTACAACCCATGTAAATACCGCCTACAACCCCGGCCCTGGCATAGGCGAGAGGTGCGACGGCCTATGCCAGGGCTGGTAGGGGCCATAAACTTGTTGTAGCCCAGCGGAATGAACTGGGCCAGATAGTGCAACCTCCAAATAAGGTGCAAGGATCGACTCCTCTAACTGACTAATTTTTTGGTGACCCTATATGCATGTGCCTTGTTTTGTATTTTTTTAAAGATATTTTCTTATACTTTTCTGTAAATAATATTGACATTTTTATTAAATTTATTTCTCTTTTTTTTTTAGGAAAATTTATTTCTCATATTAAAAAGAACCATCTTTTAAGTTTGCATTTTTCCAAAAAAAATAAATAAATTAAAACAGTTGTGAATAGCTACGAAGTATTTATACAAGTAGTAATTATACGTACTTACATTTCTCTTTTTTTTTTTCGAGCAACAAACTACCTATCTATAAGTGAAATCAAATTAAATGAATAAATATTACTCCCACAATTTTTAATAAGTACTCCATTAGTACTTTTGCACTATTCATTTGCTCTACTTCTGACTAATATTAGTGAGATATAACTACTTGTTGGAATTGTTTTAATAAATAAATTATTAATTATTAATTTTTATAATTTATACATATTGATAATTAAAGATATTATGATCAAAGATTTGTATTGATATATGTACCCCAAGAGAACAGAGCACTTATTAAAAAAAAGTGGAGAAACTATGTACGTATATGTATCATACTAAATTGTCAATTATTTTATTATAAGAGGTGCTAATTTCTTACTTTATCTAGGACCCACAAAATTACAAGAACAGGTCTGACCGCCTATGCGCCTAAATACACTCATAGTTCTATAATCATCACTTAATAAACTCATGGTTGAGGTTGCCATCACAAAGGGCATTCATTGGAAACTTACAAAACTGACCTTGGGATCAGTAGAATAAGAAGAAACTTTTAAATCCATGTGATTCAACAAATTGAGGTAATAAACATGCTTTGGGATTGCAAAGATACATTTTATAGCTGTAAATTAATTCCATTCCTTATCCTTACAAATTGATTTAACAATGGACCGTCAAAAAAAATAAAAATAATTGTAAATGAAGTTTACATAAGCATGTGGCCCCATACTATTAAATTGAATTGAAGTGGTCTCCACTTCTGTACAAGATCTCGAGAGAAAAAGCCTTCAACACCCAAAAATAGCACACTTCCAAATTGGCCAACCATACTTCATCTCACCTTTATTTTCTGATTAGAAGTATTTTACACGAATTCTTAAAAATAATGTTGCAGACCTTATGCACATGGGTGTTTTCTGACCTTATTCAAGACCATTTATCATTTTGGACAGTAATTATATTACTATGGTACACTCATTTCTGATTTTGTAATTGTTACAGAAATACACTAGATCTAGTAAAGATTATTTACCCTTACATAAAGAAAGATTGTCATTTTCCAATCTGAATTTGTATTAATTAAGTTTGAAATGAGCTTTAAAATTATGTAATGTGAATAACTTGGTTTAACAATAAACTCAAATTAATTTCATTATTGAAATTGTATAAGACATATGGAGTTTTCAATTTCCTAGTGAAGATAGTAATATGTGTATGATACTCATAGGTAGTGCATTTGACGTTTTACTACGTTTAATATACATTAAAGATAAGATAACATTTAAATTATTAAGATAAATACTCTAATTAATTTTTCAAATAGCTAATGTTTAGAAAATCTATGTGTTCCAAGAAAATATAAACTGACATAAATTTATATAAAACAATTTTAGATAAAATCACCCAAACATTAATTTATAGTATGATTGACATCATTCTAAAAATGTTTTTGTTCTATTATGTCATGCTCTTTTGACAATGATAAACCTTGCCTTGGAAAAATGAAAATCAATTCTTCAACCAATACAAAATCTTTAATAAATCAACCAATTTGAACCCAATCCAAAAAAAAATGTACTTGTAGCTAGTAAATTCTACTCCATAATTCAATCCCCTAGCAAAATTGACAGGTAGGGCAAAGAAAGATAGATAATAATTGAAAAGATTCAACCCATAATTATATCAAGTCTAATCCAATTAATATGCTTAACCAATCTGGAGCTTCCTCTCTACTTCCTTGGTTCCTTCACTAAGTGACCAACCACTTTATGCTCAGGAAGTTGCCCATTTAAAAACCAAAAAAAAACAAAAACAAAAAAACTTAAATTCTTCATCACTCTGTTGAAGTTATTGACAGTTGTGTTAATACTCTAAAAAAGATATCTATAGTATGTTGCTAACGAACGTTCCGGAACGTTAAATAAGCATTTAAAATATTTTTTAATGTGGTATTAATTTAAGGATACATGTCAAAATCACGCGTTGATCGGTGTAATTAATGTTCATTATTTCTACTTTTAGTTATGTTATTCAACGTCTCCGGAACGTTTGTTAGTTTTCGCCATAATAATAATAATATATTTGTTTTATAGGTAAGAAGAAGACATTCAATCAGATCATAAACTCTTACAAAGCCAACCCAATCTGGGTTAATAATAATGACGGATGTAAGGATATGCACAGATATTGACAAGTAGTAGATGAGAGAGAATACAAAGAAGTACGTATAAAGCTCAATTATACAACATAAGAGACAATATCAATAGTTATTAAATATGAACTAACCAACTAACGACAGCTGAGACACAAGGAAGGAAGAGCTGCTGTTATTTTGTAATTATTATTAGTTCCAATGTATTTGGTCTAATCTTTTTTATATTTTGTATAGTAGGATTTGTATTCATTGTTGAAGCTAAAGATGGGAAAAACAGGGAAATGGTTCAAGAGTTTTCTTGTTGGAAAGAAAGACAAAGGTGGGAAAGATCAAAAGTGTATTGGAAGCAATAATAGTAATAGTAATAGTAATAATCAGGAGTCCGTTTCGACTGATCATCCGAATACTACGACTCCGGTGGTGGCGGTGGTGGTGCCGAGGCCAACGACTCCGAAAGAAAAGAAGAGATGGAGTTTCAGAAGATCATCTGCTAGTAATAATAGTAATAGTAATACTAATGCTAATAATAATGTCAAGGATCAAAATTCTGCTAATGCTGCTAGTGTTCAGAAATCTGAAGTCCTGCAGGTGGGATCAAATTTGGCGAGTGCAGCGGAGGATAAGCAACCGGAGGAGGTGGAAGCCGAGACTGAAGTAGTAGACGATGTAACAGTTGAAGATATAGAAGGGGAAGTTGTAGTGATTCCTATCGAGGAGTGCGGCGATGATGGCAGAGATAGCTTTGTTGAGGAGGCTGCTGCTGTCAAGATTCAGTCGGTGTTTCGCTCGTATCTGGTATGTATATTGTCCTTGATTGTGGAGTATTACAATTTTAATTGAATTCCATTAACAAATTAAAATGTTGAGTATTTGTTGTTTTGAAAGGAAGAATAAATGGTCAAAGATTTGCAAAATTGACAACAGAAAAAAAATATATGACAATGACAGTGGCAGTTATACAGGGGATACTTATATTATATGAAGGATCAAACATATGTAAATTTTCTCTTAAGTGTGATTAATGTTATATAATCGTATGGAAATTTGTGATACAGGCGAGGAAGGCACTGAAGGCATTAAGGGGATTGGTGAAGTTGCAGGCATTGGTAAGGGGTCATTTGGTAAGAAAGCAGGCAACTGCAACATTGAGATGTATGCAAGCGCTTATCACGGCTCAAGCACGAGCTCGAGCTCAAAGGATCCGATCAGGGGAAGACGGGACGGTCATAAATCATAGGCAGTCTACTCACCGACGAAACGGACAAGAGAAGATCAAGCACACGAATTATGTTAGTATCTTTTATTTGACTTTTCTAGTTCATAATTTGCATTGACATCTTGACAGTAACAGCAACTTAGAATCAGATTATGCTTAAAACAGATCATACAGAACCAATTGAATCGATTTATTTCGGTTTTTTTTTTTTTTTAATTAATTTTGCACTAGCTAATCTATTTAAATTGATTATGCTAGATCCATCTAACAACTTCATTTACATGATTTGGTGTTCTGCCTAATTGATTCTGTTTTATTGATCAAATCACGTTCCCCTTTGTCTTGATTTCGGAATTAGTTGCCACCACTTATTTTAATGGCATATTATGAAGTCCAGTCATAACGAAGTACTTATTATTGTGAAAGTTGACAGCTATTTTCGGATATCTTAAAATAGTATTTGATAAACAGTAAAAGTAGTAATTAACCAGTCTCGCACATGGATTAATAACTGGCCAAAAAGCCTCTCAAATCTGTATTTACTGAACTAATCTCTTATTCTCTTAACAAATAGGATAGAGAATGATAAATTCTTTGAGAAATATTTGTATGAGCTATCTCTTATTATAGAATTACTTATTTGATCACCTATGAAAACCAATTGGACATAGCAGTAAATATATCAAATAATGTCTTGTCAGATTTTTTTAATGATCAAGATTTTGGACTTTATAAAAAATGCAGGACATGGAGGAGAACATCAAGATAGTGGAGATGGATCGTGGCGACTTTATATCGAATGTTAACAGCAGGGACAGCTACTCGATTTCAAGCCAACAACAGATTATTGATGATCGAATGGATAATAGAATGACTACGTATTATTCTCCCCAGCAGGTATATCTAAAGCAGCAGGACTATCAGCAATACTCCCCTGCTCCTTCAGCAATCACAGAACTGAGCCCAAGAACTTGCAGTGGCCACTTTGAGGATTATTCTTTCGCCACTGCACAAAGCAGCCCACAATGCTACTCTGCAATATCGCGGCCAGACCCATCAAGGACCCCGTTTTCATTCCCTCAGCCAGATTTTACAGAGACAATATCGTATGATTTCCCTCTCTACCCGAACTACATGGCAAATACTCAATCTTCAAAAGCTAAAGTGCGGTCTCAAAGTGCACCCAAACAAAGGCCGGAGTTGGAGAGGCAGCCAAGTCGTGGGCGAAGGCCTTCAGTTGAAGGACGGAATATACCAAGGGGTGCAAAGATGCAACGGTCATCCTCACATGTTGGGTCTAACCCACAAAAATACAATTATCCGTGGTCTGTCAAGCTGGATAAGTCGAGTGTTTCACTTAGAGATAGTGAGTGTGGATCCACTTGCTCGATGGCTACCAATGCTTACTACTGCAGATCAGTTGTATCTTATGATGTAAGTAACAAAGCTTAAAAATTGCTAAGGTATAGTTAGAACAACTTTAAGTAGAGTATATGTGAACTTTATAAGATATTTACTTAATGTTTTCGCTTTGTGAATGCAGCCAAGATGCTAAAGAGTTTCTATTTTCATGCTTAACTCAACTCGAATGTCTGACAATGGTTTAGTCACAGGAGTATAGAGCATTCAGAAGAACAATTCTGCTCCAAGATTGCTTGAAATTGTTTGGATTTAATTGGTGATTTTGTAATAATTGATTAATTGTAAAAGAGTGTGGTATGTATCGAAATTTCTTATTTCTAGATTTCAGATTGTTGAAGTTATTTGTATTTAACGTGTTCTTGGATTAATTAGTGAAAAAACAGACAATTATGTGCAGAGAGTAACCACTTGTTGGGCCCGGGTCGCACACACATTCCACTCCACATTAGTATGATATTGTCTGCTTTGGACCTAGCTAGCACAAATTTGTTTTTGGGCACCTTTCCAAAAAGCCTCATACTATTGGAGTCTGCTTCCACTTATAAGGAGCTCTTCACTTCCTTAATCTTTCCATGTGGGACTTGGGATGAACAACCCCAACAAACCTCCCCCCAGACCAAGGACCACATAACTCATGGCCTCCCCTCCAACGAAACTATGTTGCACCGCCGCTTGAGCCATAGTATCAGGAGGACTTTTGACGCAAGGACCACAATCGCGACGTCAAACATTTGAGGGAGCGTCCCACACACATAACGCCCGTGTTTGTCCCGCCAAATCATCGGCTCTGATATCACTTATTGGGCTCGGGTCACCCACCTTGACGAGTCACACGCACACTCCACTCCACATTAGTATGATATTGTCTGCTTTGGGCCTAGCCCGCACGAATTTGTTTTTGGACATCTTTCCAAAAGGCCTCATACTATTGAAGTGTGCTTCCACTTATAAGGAACTCTTCACTTCCTTAATCTTTCCATGTGGGACTTGTGATGAACAACCACAACACCACTATGTATAGCTTATATATGGTCCATTTGGATGCTTTAAGTTGTGAGACTTGTGACCAAGAACATTGCCAGAATGCAATTTGCCAATATATATATATATATATATATATATATATATATATATATATATATATATATATATATATATATATATTAATTTTTAAAACTAATATGTGTATTATCTAGATAAACATTTGATATTTATATAATTATACTATGGGTAAACTAGTCATTTTCAGTACAAAGTGGAGGCTATTTTTGTCATTCTCCCTTCTCCTTCCTTCATTCTTGACATCACCATTCATTTTCTTCATCTTCTCCACCTTCATCTTCTTCCAACATCACCATCTCCGACACCACCATTTCCGACATCGATGCCAACACCTTTATTTTCTTCCTATCGACACCGACCACCATGAATAAAACGAAATTACCGGAGAAAATAAAGGATTAAAGGACATAGTTAACATCAAAGGGTATGTAAGTTTTTCCTCCTCCATTGAGGATGAGCTTTAACTCTCTAATTAAAGTTGAGCTTAAAAAAGCAAGACAAAAGTACAAAAATCGATATTTTTTACTTAAAAGCACAAATTTCAAGAAAATATTTATATACTTGTCACTTGATTAAAAAACAAATTTATTTATCAAGGTGATAAACTTGTATTTTCTCCTTTATAACATTAGATAAATTTTTGTTATCGCTTTCGTCAGCAAGTGTGCCTCTTTTATGTTGTTAGAGAATGAAAAACGAATAAGAAATTCTACATGGTGGCCTTTAAAACCGACAATTCTATTTGGTGGAAATATTTATATTCCATAATTTCTAGTAATTCCCTAGGTTGGTATAACACTATTTAGTGACCTAAGTTCATTACATGGCTGAACATTTCTGATTTTGGGTTCATTTTTAACCCTAATTCCCTAAATTACTAACCTACCCCCAAAAAACAACTAACCCACATCACCATACCCAAAACCAACCCTTACCCTTCCCGTCAACCAACTAGGGCGCTTAACAGTCTACGAACGTCGGTGGCTAAGTTTCGAACAGTGAATTTGGGTTTCAGGTGGTGTGTTTTCAAGTTTTGGTCGCTAGTTTTTCTGGTGGTGATTGGATTTGATTGGTAGGTTTTTAGGTGGGTGGTGGCTGGGTTTCGGGTGTTAGGTGTTTAGGGGGGTGGTTTTTGAAGGGTTTGTGTGGCTGGATTTCCGGTGGTGGGTTTTTAGGGGGGGTGGTGGAGCTTAGTGAAGGTGTGGTGTAAATAAAGAGTTAGGTTAGTAATTTAATAAATTAGGGTCAAAAGGCTAGTCGTAAATCAATGGGTTAATCATATTTACGTAGAATTAGTCCACTACTTAGATTCTTTCGATTCTATAAAGTCACTTAAAATTATGGTCAAAATTTATTTCCACCAAATAGAATTTCCAAATCTTGGAGACCAACATGTAAAATTTCTCAAAATGAAAAGTAGAATGTGAAATAACCTTAGAGCACCCACAATGACAAGCTACAATTATGCGTGGTAGCTTTGCCGCTTTGCTACACCAATATTCCCAAATTACATTCATTGCAAACTACAACCCATACAATGAAAAGTAATCACCTATTGTCATTTTAGTATGTAGGTCCTACTTTTCAATCAACTATTACATTTTGATGTCAAGTAATTACTCATATAAAGATATTAAATGACCAATATACCCTTATATAATCTTATCCTCAGGCCACTTTCCCTTTGAACCAAATTTCTCCTTCAACCTCGTTTGTAATACCCTGTATTTTTCTATATTTTATTATATTATTTAAAGCATTTTAATATTTTTTAAGTAAAGAATTCATAATAAATATATAATATTCAATATTTATTTTATTTTAAATTGGGCAAAAATATTTATTTAAATAAAGTTAATTTTTAACTTGAAAAAATTGATTTTAGAAAGGGGGATTTTTCTGTGTGGCCAGGGTTACTCGAATTACTCAGTCAGGGGTTACTCGAGTTACTCCTGATCGAGTAACCCCTCAAGTAATCCCTGACCGAGTAACCTCTCGAGTAACCCCTGACCGAACCTCTCAAGTAACCCCTGACCGAGTAACTTCTTGAGTAACCCCTCTATTAATTGCTGACCGAGTTTCCCCTCGAGTAACCCTTGACCAAGTAATCCCTGACTAAGTAACCCCTCGAGTAACCCCTGACAAAACCTCTGAAGTAACCCTTGGTTGAACCCCTCAAGTAACCCCTGATCGAGTAACTCGAGTAACCCTGCCACACGGTGTGGCTAACCACATATAAAAATTTGTCTTTTAAAAAAGTATTTAAATACGAAAACAAGTAAGTAAGTTTCCTTAAAAATTTAAGGCAAAATTGGGCGCAACACTCTGAAGTATAGTGAAGGTGTATTGAGCACCCTGAACTTTACGAAGTAGCTAAAACACCATGAAATATGATAGTAGGTGCAGCGCGTGCCTTTAATGAAATTTTTCAACCAAAAAAGTTGCCGGAGAAGGGAATCTTTTATTTTTTATTATTATTTGGCCCCTATTACAATTTTTATTTTTTTCCCTTTAATCCTAAACCTAAACCTAAACCTAAACCTCACGTGACCCTCTTCTTCTAATCCTTCGTTTCTTCTTCTTTTTATTTTCTTTTCTCTCTGACCATTTTGTTATAACCAGGTCCTCCAAGTTCTTCCCCAATTTGAAAACTCTAAAAAGTTTCGAATTGAAATTCTTCCCCGATTGAAGCATGAGCTCAACATCAACGACTTCATTTAGGAGGAAATCGAATTCTCGTGCAAATGTGAGGGTGTATTGTGGACATCGATTGCCTGCTGTAATTTGTACTGCGTGGAAGTTCAATGAAAATCAAGGGAAGCGTTTCTATGGGTGTTCAAAGTGGAAGATAATTGTAATTTCAAATCTCACTGTTAAGTTTTTTATTTGGAATGGAATGAATTAGATTCATTTGAAAATGTAGGTTGATGATTGCAAATTTTTTGAATGGATTGACAAGGAAGAATTTGGACCACGCGTAATTGAATTAATTAACGGTCTAGCTGCATATAATGAGAGGATGGAAGCTGAATTGGAGCATCTGAAGAATAACACAGGCTGTCAAAAGCAAGCATATGAAGATGGGGTAAAACTAAGAGCAATGGAAGATGAGAACAAGATATTGAAGCAACAACTGAAGGTTATGAGTGGAAGAGAAAGGGGCTATATTGCGGCAATCTTAATTTGTTGGATAAGCTTTGTGTTATTTTTTGCAAGGCTGTAGGTTGGCCAAGATGTCTGGGTAGTTGAATTGAGTAGGGTGGTTAGTAGTATGTGAGATGGTATAATAGTATGTATTAGAGTAGTTGAATATGTAGTACTTTAGTAATTTGTGTGGAAAACCAAGTTGTTCTCCATTTTCATGAAACGAAATGAAAACAGGTTTTGGTGCACTGTGTTATGTGTTGTTATTCTATTGTGTGCTAGTGTAATAAAATAGGTATGGCAATAAAATAAGGACCACTAATGACAAAACTAACAACATTTGTACTTTTCATATTAAATGCTTTAAATCACATGGGTAACAACAAAAAGGTAGTTCAAAGATGCTTTTACAAGGACAAAAACTAATTGTTTTAGATATGATATTTGACTACTTCAATATCCCAAAAACTGCACACCCAAAAAAATATCAACCCTAAATACTAAATTTTTCATTGCTGAACTATCAAGGTTGCTTAGCTGCTGTTGAAGCTTGTGTTCCCACTTCTCTACAATCTGTTAGGATTGATTTTATTCCTTTTCTTGGTCCGCCCCTCTCTCTTCGAGGTTCTGATGCTGATTTGTGTTATGCAGAGGCAGAAACAATGTTCCTTGACCTTGATCTTGTGGTAGGTGCAACAGATGTAGATGCAGAAGTGTTGCTGGCTAGTGTTCTTGTTGCTTTTTTGGTGGGAGCTGCAGCAGATGCAGATGCAGAAGGGTTATTTCTTCCTCTTTTACTTGCATGAAGAAAGAAACTAGTTGTTAGATTTAAGTAGTAGCTTTAAATAGTCATAGGTAGTCATAGGTAAGGATAAAGCTTACCTTTTGCAGTTGGTTCGTTGGTGTATCATCACTTGGTTTGAGAGGGCATTTTCTCTTGTTATGTATCTTTGACTTGCATATACTACAACTCATTTGCAAACCATGCCTGCTTAATTTGCCTGGTTTTTCTTGTCTTTCATGGGGAGCTTTTTTCCTAGCCTTTCTTGGTCTTCCTGCTCCTATTTTAATCTCAGGTGGGTGGAATGGGAAAAGTACATGTTCCTAGTGACTCTCTCCCCTTAATGCTTTAATAAACCACTGTATGCTTGCAAATACTTTGCCTTAGTAAGCCTGGCATCTACATAATC